AATTAATTTATGCTGTAGACATTTTTATTAACTTTAATTATTTTTAAGTACTGTATTAATTAACATTTTTATAAATATGATTACAATACATTGATAATAGAAAGACATTATTTTTCAAAAACAAACACAAAATTTTGGTATTGAATTTTCATATATTTTATCCCATTTGTAGTATCAGTACGTTTTGTTGCATTTTTTGGAAGTATCGACTTGGCAGCTTTAAACATGATGTACTTGGTCAACTTATCCCACTTATATCTGTACGAATAATTTACTGACAGGCGCACAACATCTAAATAATAATCAATTTGATAAATTCAATTTAATAATTAAAACATAAATTGGTATAAAATTTATTTATACTATAAATATTAAGACAAATATAAACTGTATATAAATTAAACTCTATAGTAAAGTAATAATAAAATTTATACATACTATCATTATAAACATTCATGGGCATCTCGCACGTTTTATCCTCAATACTATCCTGGATGAACTTTAAACCATTATTTGTCATTGCGTTAATCCACCCTGATCGTTGTTTAACAACTGTAATACTTTTAATACTGCCGATAAAAACGCCAATTCCCGTTAGGAAACTCAGAAATGCGTTATCGACTACATCTTTATAATATGGTAAGCATGCAAACTGCAAGTATGCTAGACCCTGGTCAGCCAATAGTCTACGTATATTATTAGCAGCGTTTTCACGTTGCTTAAAAATCCAATGCATGGTATGGTTGGACACGATTAGGTTAACGCGATTCTCGAGGGCCCTGACCTCTGGCGACAGTTTATCCCATTTGACACCGAAGTCCTGCGCGATGTATGTGNCTAGACCCTGGTCAGCCAATAGTCTACGTATATTATTAGCAGCGTTTTCACGTTGCTTAAAAATCCAATGCATGGTATGGTTGGACACGATTAGGTTAACGCGATTCTCGAGGGCCCTGACCTCTGGCGACAGTTTATCCCATTTGACACCGAAGTCCTGCGCGATGTATGTGGTGTTTTGAGCAGGGTAGTTTTTCTCAGCGAACTTAATCATTTTACTGTCGATATCAATGGCGATAAACGTACAGATATTTAACGAGTCGTTGTATAGTTTAGTCATATTTCCGGGTCCACAACCAATTTCCATACAGATGTCAAATGACCTAATGGATCAAGATCATTAAGAAAAAATAAATTCCTTGTATAATTAACTAATTTAAATATACTGCGTTAATACGTAAAAATTGTAATAATTCAATATTTAAATAATTTTATTGCATATTCAATTAAATAATTAATTTTATTAGCATTATGTGAAATATGCGACTTATATTAATAATATATTACAATAATATTTAAATTAAAACAATTTATAAATGCTATATTAATACATATTATTATTTAAAATGCACTTACTTTCCGATGGTTTCTGTGACGATTTTATTAACCAGGTAAATGCCATCATCAAGCTGTACTTGATTTGTATCATTATATAATTTCGGGTCCAAATCCATAATTAATTTTATTTGAACAAGTCACTGTCTTTAATATTATGCAAAATATAATACAAATTAATGCGAGTAAATTAATTCAAAAATAGTATGCAAAATATACGGTTAATTAAAAATGTAATGCGTATAGAAAACTAGTTTTAAATGAATTATTTTGAAATATTTACTGAATATTATAAACGAAATTATTTTAAGAAATCTGGTTCAATATATCGGATGATTCCTGACTAATATAGGCTTATCTTTCGCTTCTTACAATCATTTTTTGCTTACGACTAAATATCAAAATCTTAGTTTAAATCAATGTTTTTTTAATAATAATAATAATGCTATCAAGGATTTCCAAGTAGTTTATATAACTTATAAGTGGATTTTATGTTATTACCGGTATAATAATTTTTATTGATTAATATTATCTATTTTATTACAAAAATAAATATTTATAAAAATATATCATAAGTTATAGACAAAATATGATAGCGTTTAGACAGTGTTTAGTATTTTAATTACTGCTTTAATAATACAGTGTTTGACAAAACCCTTTGCACTCGATGTCTTAATATTACTATATGTTACAGTTGAGCTAGATCAATATAAAATTTTTG